ATATTCCCAAGTATATAGCTGATTTGACCATGTTTTCATGACATTTCTATTTTTTATTAGAAATATAGTTTTTTTCATTATAAGGGTTACGGAACAGTGTTCCTACCGAAACACGGAAAAGTCAACCCAGTTTTCTTGGCTCATTTTTTTGACCAAGATGTCTCTTGTATTTGAGTATGTATAGTAACAATGTGTTTTTCCTGCTTTTTGGTAGGGGTTGGACTGGATGGCCCATGAGGTCTCGTTCAACTCAATGGTTCTATATAATTTTTCCTACTTTAATCCTTTCAAAATGGTTGGAAAGTATGCTGTTTGCTATGATACTTGGTTATGTCACCTTAAACATTTCTATGAATATTTCCAATGAAATGCAGTTGCCAGACAGTAGTTACTGTATACTGTAGTATTAATTTATTTAATGCTTAGACTATAAGTCTTTCACATACAAGACAAATAAATTCATAAAAACCAGATTATTAAATATGATACAAAATAACACCATTAAAGTACTACACAAACCATTAAAATTCTACATAAATCAATAGTGAGATGCACCCTTAACATATTACATAAAATACTATATGAACTAACTCTTGCATAGTTAAAAACCAAATAAAATTTAGGATTATTAAAGTTTAAGTTAGAAACACTTTGGATATAGACAACCACACTATTATTAGGTAAAAGCATTTTCAGATCAGTTGACTGCGACATCAGAGGCCTGGATTTTCAGTGCTGCCAGAGCAAAAAGAGATAATAACTATATGATATGAGTATGTGCAAGGTGACATTTAGGTTAAAATTTTATCAAAAGCAAACAAGCTATACTTGGAGGGAAAATTACACTTTAAAAGGATTAAGTAATCCGCTAACAAATTTAATTGACAAAAAGTCAGGTACATATAATTTATAATGCTCACCCATCTAAGACTTTGACAAACATTATCTCATGGGGGCCTTTGTATTTATTCTTGGTTAATTTATGGCTTACTGGCTCTGGAATAATTTATCATATAAACAAGTAGATCCAAGTAGACACACTATTCCGCTACTGTTTCATTTTACAAGGTTGGTGCTACTGGGATTTCTTCTTTACCTGTAGATTACAATCTGATGTAGCAAATAACCACATTTCTGTTCCTATACTGACCAAAGCCTTAGTAGTGACTTATGATTAGTGTAAGAAGTAGTAGTGTTAACTGAATTCAGAATGAAATGAAGATGCCGTTTCAGATTTCAGCAGGAACCGTGCAATTTCATGTAGAGAATTAGCCAGAATTTAAGATGTTTCCTTGTCCTTATTTTGAACCATAAGCTCCAGAACAGGGGGAATCCACAGTAATCTAGGCAAAGTAAACTGCCCCCCAAACCCTATGCAGAATTGAACCAATTTACTATGAACATAATTGAGCTCCCTGAAAAAGCACCCAGAAATGGCATTCGTGATCAAGCACACACATACCAAATATATTAAGGCAACAATTAGTTGTATAGCAAAGTCTGCTATGTTCAATCAGCCTTATGCACATGTACCTGAAACATTAGAAATTATGTTCATAATCAAGCTGATCGAATGATAAGAGGTGGAGGAAGTAATTTGCATCGACAGTGCATCTACACTGTAGAAATAGTGCAGTTTGACATCACTTTAACTGCTATGGCTCGATGCTATGGAATCATGCGAGTTGTAGTTTTGCAAGGTCTTTAGCCTTCTCTACCAAATAGTGCTGGTGCGTCATGAAATTATAACTCATGATTGCATAGCATTTTAAAATTAATTACAGTCATTTATTTTGTAGTCACAGTGACAGCATGATCAACAAAAAGAGGACCTGGTTTTAAACTGGGTTGGATTTCAGGTTGAACTGCCCAGTTAAGGACAGTATGATATTGGTAGTTTTACATTTGATTTCCTAATTATTCCAAGCAATGAATTTGTCCTTTTCCCCCTTCATAGTTACATACTGGGTCAGTGTTTTCTGTGAGATTTGCACCTAACCTAGACGTTACTTCTGAATCAAGTCTCTCTCTCGGCAGTTCAGAAATTTACTTTTCTCTCTTGCTAATTCTTTAATTAGGTTAATGGCATTCACCTAGAAGAGCCTCCAGGTCCTGTATTTCATCCACTGAATCTGAACTGTCTGGCATTATGATAATTGTGTGCTGCTTTCGTACAAATTTTAGCATCCAACATCTGAAGCTACTTGTCAGATGCTATTAGTTAATTCTGAGTAATCTGCCACCAGCCAAATAGCCTCCTGCTAATTACCACTTATTTAGAAGACGGAGTATGTTATTTAGAGGGCTACATGTGCTAGGATAACTGTCCTGATAATACGGCTGAGCATCAAATGAGGTTGTGGTGCTTCCATACTTAAAGAGGTGTTTTTTAAAAAAATGCATATAGTTGAGGTCTCATTGTACCTTTTAACAGGATCAAGCATCAGTGACTGGATGCAGAAACTCAGGTCTTGAGAGCAACAACCAAGGTGGATGTGGCTGCATAGCAATGTAATGCTTATATGTAAATACAATTCTTGGGGTAGTTCCTTCCACCCGCAGGTCTTTAGATCAGTATAATATTTCCACTGTTCCTTAGGCTATTCAGTTAAACCAAGGCTGTTCCGTTTTGATCCTAAGCACTGCAGCAACAACAACAACAACAACTGCAAGGCATAGCTTCCTTCATATCTGCAACCGCAGCTGGGTCACTGAAGAGAAAGTGCAGTTTCTAAAAACTCCATGCATTTAACAAAATGTGAATTAAAATGTAAATGTGAATTAGCATCTCACTTGAAAACTTCAAATGCAAGCTGCACAAAGGGGATTTCAAGCTTTGCTTCTTGTTGCTCATTTGTGCTTTTGCATATTCATAAGATATGACTTGGCAACTCACTGTTGTGAGATGTAAGTAAGCAAGATTTTCAGCTGTAGTGAAGCTGCGATAGTTAATTACTTCAGTACAGAAATTTCATTGTTGATGGCAGAATAACAAATTGCAAAGTTGGGGCAAATGTCAGTAGCTTGCAGGTGAAAATATTATTTTAAAAAAAATCAACAGTAAATATAAGATTTCACATCAAAAGTGAGATATAACCCTCAAATATAAGAAGCAATATAAATAATAAGCACATTTATAATTCACTTAAGAAGAAAAGGGAAAAAACTGACATTAAAATATATAAAGATTTAGAACTGAGCCATTTATAACTTTTAATCATAGTTGGGATCTTTCTTCATTCTGAAATGTAAGGGTAACAAAGTTATTACATATTCCTTTATAGACATGTGAATATGGTTTGAAATCAAATTCCTATTCCCAGAGTATGAATCCCCACTTAGCCATGAAAAACCACTGGGGGACTTTTAGCAACCTCCTTCTGAATAAACGTTACCAAGAAAATCTCATGATAGGTTTCCATTAGAGTCACAGAAAGTTGGAAACAATGTGAAGGCACCTATCAACAATAGCAATAGCTCATAAATGAAACAAAAGACACATAGCCAGCTCCCAAATTCTCACCATTTTGTTTATCATATGTGGATTTGCATTTTAATTATTACTGTAAGCATTTATTGTACAAGATTTAGTTAGTTAATTAGTCAATATATAATGCTCAGTGCTTGTACACCATAGAAAGATCCTTGAGATCTGGGAGTAAGTTATTATGCCGAAGCATTGAATTTGATGTTTTCTGTAGAATTAGCCACCCTGATAGTTTTCTTGCCATGTAGGATCTTTTTGTTTAATACAGAAAATTATTTGTACAAAAGATCTTTCCCCAAGTAGTGCTTCTGGGGTGGTAATTTTTTTTACTATAATATTTGCAGTGGCTGCTCTATAGTTGAAACTTGCAGGACAATTTATACAGATTATAAAGCAAATGAAAGCGTAACAAAACAACAAAATTCACTATTGCAACTCTACTGTTGTAGTATTACAGACCACTTTCAATTCTGTTGAAGAGTGCTCTGAGCAAAATGCTTGGTAAATCAAATTTTCCTCCTTTCCCACCATTCTCTACAGCTCCTGTACAGCACTTCCTGTGCAGAACTAAAACTGTTCCCAGAACATTGGATTTAGCCCCTTAAAACCACTTTAGCTTCTAAGGCTCAATGCTGGGGAATTCTGGGGTTGTAGTATTGAGGAATATTTAGCCTTCTCTGTTGAGAGCTGTGGTTACACAACAAACTACATATCCCAGGATTCCATAGGATGGAGCTATGACTGTTAAAACAGCATCAATTACTGCAACTCTGCAGTGGCTGTGGTCTTTTGGACTTCCATTTACTGATCTTCAGTTAGTTTACTTTTCTTTTCTGAGTGTTTTGCTTGACTGTGCTGCATGGATTCAAGTTGCAGATGCACATGTTATGTAGTGACCAGGTTATCAATGGCAATGAGCAAATTTCCAACAAATGACAATTGCATTTTGAAGCTTATAAAATTATTCTTTGTAGTTTTTTGTCTGCAACAGTAAGGCTATCAACAATCTATTTACGATACAGTATTTCTCTGTAGAAACATTCAGTATTTTCACACATACATGCATCTTAGGGTTCTGGCAAATTGCAATTGATAGCTACATGTTATAAATGTTATTTTATTGTTATTTTTAGGTGTGTAACATATTTATGGGTTTCCTTTAGGAAGATGTTTAAGATATAAAATCCATACTTAGCCAAAGGTTCATTGCCTGACCTTCAGCAGAGTAGTTCTTAATCTTCATTTCATATTGTAAATCATAATGAGCTATGCCAGAGGGTTAGTATGAAGGTTGAGTGCTCACAATTTTACTGGCAGTTGTTGCAGAATGAATTGTACAGGAAAATTGCATAGTTCAGTTAAACAGAGATGTTCTGGAACAGGGTAACTTTCATCTTCCAAATAGACACTACTGGATCAGAAAAGGGGAAGGTCAGAAGAGATCACACCATCTGCTTCATTGTAGCTTCACATTTCTGCAAGTACTTATTCTTCTTCTCTTTTATCCCCACAGCGAAGATGTCTGCAAACGAGGGTTCACCGTCATCATTGATATGAGAGGGTCTAAATGGGACCTGATCAAGCCTCTCTTGAAAACTCTTCAGGAAGCTTTCCCTGCAGAAATCCATGTTGCCCTGATAATCAAGCCTGATAACTTCTGGCAGAAGCAGAAGACAAATTTTGGAAGTTCAAAATTTATCTTCGAGGTAAGATGAGGAGCCTTATCTGATCTGGAAGGAGATGTAAGAATTGGTAAGATCATACAAACACCACAAACATCTTGCACAGCCTACTATATCAAACCAAAAGCTAAGCCTAGTACATATATCTTTGGCAGTGTCTTTTAGTTTATTCTTTGTTGATGCTGAGGTACATCAATGATGTAAGTGCCATATAGTCTTAGCAAAATGAATGGGGAAAGGTTATTAGTTAGTGTCAAATTACATTTATTGACTTCTGTGCAATTCATCTCAAAACACTTAAGAAAAAATGATGACTGCAGATGATAACTTGAAAACAAGTTATCATCTGCTGTCCTTAGATGATGAGGGAGGGATGTCCATGGAAACTGTGTTGCTATGGTGGCGGTTCTTGCAGAAAAATCTGCTCCTTTATTGATTCTTTTGACACTTTAGCAGCTCCAGCAGTAGATAGGTTTACATTTATATTGTCTCTAGAGGGCAGAGTCAGTCAGAAGTTGTTGGTAAGCAAAACGACAGCAAGATTGACACTTGACTGACTAATGTAGCTTCCAGGAGCTTGCTGTCAACAAGAGAGGTGACCCAACGAGGCCCCTTGTCATTAATTCAGAAATGCTTTTGCAAATTATTTTTCCATTTTTCTGAAAAGACTGAATGAGCAAGCTCTGATTTTGATTGGTTGCACTGGAAATAGAAGAGAATATGACAGCTGATAGGCTCTTGCCTTGTCTTAGCACATCCCTTCTCCCTTCTTGATGAAGTCTGATAATGTATTCTCATTCATCTCTGATTCTCCAGGGAGAATCCCATCTGAATAATAAATGCATCTGTAGAATGCTTTAAACAAAAAAGGCCTCCTGTCATATCTTTGTGTCAGAATTGTGGCAGAGGGAGAATTTTCTGTAGTAGATTTAAAAACCAGGTGGGGAATCTGCATTGACTTACTGTGTGCCAAATTTAATTATCCCCTTGAATCTTTAAAGGAACATTGTTGAATTAATAAGTTCTGGGAGATTTGGGTGCTTAAAAAAGGTTTACTATATGAGAGTAATTTAGTCAATAATGGAAATATGGTAGAGTGGAACATTATCCTTTTTTTATTCTAAATATCCTTCCCATTTCTGTCTCAGTAATCTCAATAAGTTTTCAGCAAAGCATGAGCTCAATATTTTGGGGGTTTCTGTGCTTTTTGAACATTTAGAAGGAAATGTCAATTCTAAGGCTAGGTGATGATTGTGCTGCAGGATCTACTGTATTTCACCGCATAATAGTTGCACTTCTCCTGCCTTTGGGAGAGAAAGGGAGGTGCAGCTATTATGTGGTGAAAAGCCCCCTTTTAAGAGGGGGGTTCACTGCATAATAGTCCCTCAGGGCACAGCTGCAGAGGGGAGAGGTGGGCAGGTAGACAAGTTAACCCATCTGATTTCTCCCCTCCAAGCAATAGAGCCTCTGTAGCTCAGAAGGGAGAAGCTAACTAGTGGGTGAACTCTCCTACCTGACAGCCTTTCCTTTTTGAGCTATATAGACTCCTCTATAGCTCAGAAGTGCTCAGAATTCATCCACCAATCCTCCTGTCCCCCCAGAGCTACATATACTTGCCATGCTGAGGTGATAGGCAGGCAGGTAGATGAATGAAGTCCCCTGCCTGCCTGTCCCCTTTCCTTGGTGCTGTGGATCTTGACTCTGCTCCCAGTTGAGCAGAGCGTATAGTTATACTGTTAGAAATATGGTCCCTACATAAGATTGCATGAATTCCCATTACTGTAGTGCATTTATTTTCTATTTGGCAATCAGTGTCAGCAAATGTCAGAGATGGAGGCCTAATGTACTAGGTAAGCAAGGTACAGTATCTTTATTCTGAGTAGTGTGGCAAATTTATAGTATTTGAAACTAAGTCAGTTACGCTTTCTGATATCTACCTGAACATTCTGCTGCTAAACAACTTAATCTGAAATTAGTTCTCATTGCTTTGGAAGGATTGACAGCTTAGTATCAACACCCAGGATAAGTTCCTACATGGCCTATCCTACTTATTTATTTTATTTATTAGGAGCATTTTTCCCCGTCCTTCTCACCTCTGAAGAGGGATGCAGGACAGCTACCAACAGCACCATTCAGTGCCGAACAATAAAAACAAAGCATAATATACATTTGGCATACATTAAAACAATTATAAAGATATTAAAACGGTTCGATGTTTCACATTGTCTTCCAAATCAATCCATTGCCATCAGCTAAAAACATTTGAGCTTCTTCTGGAAGGTAATGGGGAGGGGGCAGATCTGATCTCATTAGGGAAGGAGTTCCATAGCTGAGGGACAACCACCGGGAAGGCCCTGTCTCTTGTCCCCACCAAATGTGACTGCAATGGTGGTGGGACCAAAAGCAGGGCCTCTTCAGGTGATCTTAAGGTCCTTGGAGGTTCGTACAGGGAGATACATTTGGACAGGTAAACTGGGCCGGAACCATCTGTCATCTGTTCCAGATTCTCTGGTGGCTCAAGTTCTGACAAGCACACATCATCTTTCTGTATGATCGGGCTATCAGGGAATGTACACGATACAAGTGGGAATATAATTTTCACTTCGTAATTGAATTCAAGTCTCTGATGATATACCCATAGTCTGGAAAGAAAACAATATCACTTGTAAGGTTTTAAAAAAAAATGAAAAAGGAATGTCGCAATGGGTAAACTAGAGAGTAGCAGAATATATTCCTCCATAATTATTAATATAGGAATTAGAAAGATACAGGTATTTTAAAAAGTAGCATCAAGGATAAAGAGGACCAGCTTACCTGTCCAAACGTATCTCCTCCTATGAACCATCTAGGAGCTTAAGATTGTTTGGGGAGGCCCTGCTCTCGATCCCTCCTGCATCACAGGCGCAATTGGTGGGGACAAGAGACAGGGCCTTCTCAGTGGTGGCCCCCAGGCTATGGAACTCCCTCCTCAGGGATATTAGATCGTCCCCCTCCCTCCTGACTTTTCGTAAAAAGGTAAAAACTTGGTTCCTTGAGCAAGATTTTGTGATTGCAGCGGAATAGATAACATGAAACTATGAATGATGAACATGAAATGGCCAGGCAATGTGATTGGAAGACGTTTTAACAGGATGACACCAATGATTATATGTTTTAATGGTTTTTAATATATGTTTTATATTGTTATGTTGATTAACTGCACTTTATGAATGTATGGCATCGAATTGTGCCAACCTGTAACCCGCCTTGAGTCACCGTATGGTTGAGAAAGACAGGCTATAAATATTATAAATAAATAAATAAATAAATAAATAAATAAATAAATAAATAAATAAATAAATGTTTCAGTGCCCATAAGGGAAACGTGATGTAGGTACATTATGTTATGTGGGATGTAGGTACTAGAAGACTCTTGTTTTCATCTGCAAGCTGTTTTGGAATATCCCTCCTATTGTGAATTCTATGGTTGCTTTTTACAGATGGAATCCAGTTCTACAAAATTCATCAGTCTGCTTTCCTGCCTATACACAGCCCAAATATGCTAGAATGGTTTTGCTTCTGGGATGCTAGTCAGTGTGATGGAGAGCCTAAAGCATAGAAGTGGCTTCATGGAAAAATTTAGCTCAAACTCTTGCTTAGTTAAAAAAAAATCACTGGGTGGTTTTATGCAACACATTCCTGTTTTAAGGTCTGAATTCCCCACCTGCAAAATGGAGATAAAAATCAAGTACTTCCCAGGATTGTTGAAAGAGCAAACCAGAACCAAAGAATGTTATGAATTAGATGTCCTATGTGGAGCAGGGTTAGAAAACACACACCCCTCCAGAGGTTGGTGGAGTGCACCTACCAGTATTCTTCATTAGGTTGATTGGTTGCTGGGAGTTACAGTTTAACAGTGCCTAAAGAATGGCATGATTCCAACTCCAATAAAACAATAGTTGTAAACTTGCTGTGATTTGTAGGTGGCTCTCTATATCCGTTGTAGTTTCTTATGTAAATACCCATATGGCATTTAGATTGTGTATTAATTTGGCTTAATTATAGTTAAGAATGGTTGAAAAATATGGAAGCATGTGCTCTGCCTGTGGGAAACGTTAGCTGAAATAATCTGAAAGAAAATAAGGAATAGTTAAATGTATATTTTGGCAGGATAAGACACCTGCTTCCAGTCGCACGCCTGGAACCAGTATAATGGCCATATAATTCAAATAGCAGAACCCAGTGTAATATCACATAACCACTTAGGAGAGCATTCATGCCAGAATAACTAAGGGCAATGGGGAAGATTTATATTTAGGATGATATACAGACTACACACTTCAGGTTAAAAGGATACACTGCAGAAACTTCATCCAAAATTATGTTTCTAATGGCTACTTTCAGCTTCAAAAATGCCAAAGGGTCAAGAAAGGTTTGCTGCTGTAATCAAATGAAGGCATACATTCTTAACCCTTATGCAAGGAATGTATAATGAACATCGTCCCCAATGCTCTCTAAAGAGCCCCTACCAATGAAATATATAAGTTTTAAAACAACCCATTAACACAGCATCATTCTCATAAAAAGCCAGTGTGTGGTGCCAAGCCATTGGCTGGAATAATGATGTTGGATATGGGGAGTCTAGCTTTCACATCCTGCTACGTGGGTTGTCTTGACCAATGCACATATTGCTTTCGAAAGGCATGTTTCCACAAAAAGGTCTGTAGAAGAAATAGGAGTCAAGGGAGCTCCGCTTTGAAGAAATGTGTAGTACTTTGTGCATTCTTTTCAGTATGGATTTCTATTGCCCGCATGATACTGCTCATAAGCAAGGTTTGCATTGGCTGTGTCTTTGAGTGCTTAGGTATTTCCATTCAGCAGAGCCCCTGAAAAATAGTTCACCTTAACTGAATATTCTTCAAGATCTACAACTGTAAAATACAAATTTTATATGTATAAATTCTTAGGAGATCAGTTTCAGAAAGCACTGTAAAGTGTAGCAAGAACTGGTGAAAAAAATCATTGGGATGACAGCAGTGCAAATTATTGTACCTTCTAAAAGTAATGTAGAAATTGTCAACAACATTAGAGTTTTGGCTATTTAGGAGGAAAGAGTAGTAATGTTTTTGTAATGAAACTTGGAAAAATGAAATTTTGAACTACAATTCCCAGGATCCATCTGCATTATACTGTAACTGTTCCATGTTCCAGTATAAAGCTACATAGAGGGACATGTTTGACTCCATTCCCATTCTTCCTCTGTGGATTCTGAAAAAATAATCAAAGACATGTTATAGTATACTGTATTGTGCTCTATGTGGAATTGTTCTCTGTGTTAAGAAGATTCAGAAGTGGTAACTAATGCAAAATGCAGTAGCTTAACTGCTGATTAGAATACCATACTGACAGGACATAATGCCAGCCCTAAAATTATTATATTGGCTGCCAGTGTTTCTTTCCCTGAAAATGAGATCTTATTTCAGAATCTTTCTCTTTCCTTAGACAAGCATGGTCTCTGTGGAAGGCCTAGCAAAATTGGTGGATCCCTCCCAACTCACCGAAGAGTTTGAAGGAACTTTGGATTACAATCATGATGAATGGATAGAGCTGAGAGTCTCCTTGGAAGAGTTTTTTAACAGTGCGATCCATTTGTTATCCAGATTAGAGGACCTTCAGGAAATGTTGGCTCGGAAAGAGTTTCCAGTGGATGTGGAGGGCTCAAGAAGACTCATAGATGAACACACACAGCTCAAGAAGAAAGTAATTAAAGCTCCAGTAGAAGAATTAGATCGTGAAGGTCAGAGGTTGTTACAGTGCATAAGGTGCAGTGATGGCTTTTCTGGTAGGAACTGCATTCCCGGCAGTGCAGATTTCCAAAGTCTTGTGCCAAAGATCACCAGCCTTTTGGACAAGCTGCATTCAACACGGCAACACTTGCATCAGATGTGGCATGTCCGGAAATTGAAACTGGACCAATGCTTTCAACTTCGCCTTTTTGAGCAGGATGCAGAAAAGGTAAGGCATAGCCTGTTTTCACTTTGAATGTTACTAAGAAACCTCATGGCAACTCTAACATTCTAGCCAAATATATAAGTTTTTGCAATTAGCAACATGAGGAATTAATCGAGGATATAAACCTCAAGTTGCTAGCAAATGTATTTTATGTGAGTTGTAAAGCAAAATCACTGAACTAATTGTTGGAAGTAGCAAGCAGAATGAGAGCCAAGAATAACTCACCTCTGGCTGTTCTTATGAAAACTGATCTGCTTTGAGTATACTCAAGTAGACACAAGGCACCCAAAATTAAACCTTGTTGCTTTCCAACAGGCCTTATAGCAGAACTGGAGGATATGTTGAGAATTAAGGGCCACTAAAATCAGAACAGTGGAACAGTTTCCACTTGGGTGAAAATAGAAAAGCCAGACTTTTTAGGACAAGCGATAAGCGAATTGTTTACATATTGAGGAAATTGGTCTACATGTGTGGTGTTGATAGTCTTTAATGTGGTTCACTAGGTAAAACAAGAGTGTAATCAATGCAGGGTAGCCACAGTCACTAAGTGGTAGATAGAACAATAATGTAGCCATGTCTTTTAACTATGAGAGTCAGCAAAATCAATACTAGAGTTCATCATCTCATGTCATTAGAGTGGGAAAGAATTATACTGCTAGTCAGGACAGATAATATTGGCCTGGAAATACTTTTGATATGATTTAGTGTAAGGGTGATGTAATAAAGACAATAGGCCAGCACTGCCACCAATTGCAACAATCACAAACAAGATGGAGGTCAAAGGAGTAACAACAAGATCTGGCCCAAGGCAAGGGCTGTGAGGGAATCAGAGCACACACATTCTCACACACACAAGGCAGACAGTGGGAAGTTACCACTGTATCTTACATTTTACCTTTTCTGCCTCCTATTATTTATTAAAGGTTTCTATTGCTGCCACCAATTTATTATTTTAACAGGCCACCTGCTTCAACTGGAATGTTCAAAAAGCCATACGAAGACTTCAGTGAAAATGAAACAGGAATACATTGTTTGTTTTTAACAGTCAATATGTGTAATGGTTTCAAATAATTTGTCAGGCTTTACTTCTTACAGAGGATGGTACTTTTATCTTGAGTTTCTTAAAACAAAGTTCCACACACGGAAGTCCAAACAGAATCTTTCAAACCCTTTTGAATCTCCCTTCCTCCCACAGCACTCTAATCACTATAGAGGCCTATTAACTATTATCCTCAAAGAGGTATCTTTAAACTACAAACAGTTCCCAAACTCTTCCTTCCTCTCTTCCCCCTTCAAGCTCCTGACTGTCATCCTCCCCACCAAACTCCTAGCTCATCTAAAATGGCTGCCTCGGCTTCTTCTCTCCCCTTCTCCCCTTCTCTCTTCTTTCCCCTCCTACCTCCATCTATCTCCAGTTACTAAGCTTTTCTCTCCAATTTCATCAGCCAATCAGATTGCACTCCTGGCTATGAGGCTGCTTGTTTGCTCCTCCCCTCAGCATTAGCAAGCCAGGCCTGGTTTCTGCCCTTTACACCAACCCTTTAAGGTAGTCCAATCCATTACAGATGGCCATAGAATTATATGTGAATATGTATTGTTGATGGCTTTCATGACTGGAATCACTGGGTTGATGTGTGTTTTCCGGGCTGTATGGCCATGCTCCAGAAGCATTATTTCCTGATGTTTCACTTGCATCTATGGTAGGCATCCTCAGAGGTGGTGAATAATACAGGGTGAGGCAGCATAACTTCCTTTTTTTAAATGCACGCCATTCAGTCGGTGGATGACGTAGCAGAGCGCTAGTGGTCTCGTTCGAGAGGCGGGAGTATAAAGTTTTGTCCTGACACAGTTCAGTCGCCATCATGCATTGGAACAGTGCGGAGCGTGCTTTTGCCGTTGGGGCCTACTTTTCGAGCGGATTTGGAGTGGCTGGCCCGCTCTCTAGATTTGGCCCCTTGTGATTTTTTTCTATGGGTTTTTTTGAAATCCCGTATTTATGTGAACTGTCCAAGGACCCTACAAGATTTGAAGACCATCATCCAGGAAGAAATTGCCAACATAACACCTGCTATGCTAGCAAGAGTCATGACAAATGCCAGAAATCGGTTTACTCAGTGTATGGAGAATGGGGGACGTCACCTACCTAATTTGATCTTCAAAACTACGTAAAACAAAACTTTAGGTATGCGCCTACATTATAATTTTTTTCTGATTCATACAATGGGTTTTATTAAGTTTTGAAAAATGGAAGTTATGCTGCCCCATCCTGTATAATAATATATAATAATACAGTATGCGAATAATTTGGTAAATACAGTACAACTCTCATATTCCATGGACTCTATATCTATGATTTCTCTTACCCACACTTCAAACAAACCCTCTCCCCCTGAAGTATTTGTGGGCCTCTCAAGGTCCTCCAGTGAAATTCTATTTTATGCTTCCAGACCAATATCAATAGCTTTCACTATTAATCATGATTTCAGGTATCTGGGGCAGGGGCCGGTTTGGAACATATCCTTCATGGAGATGGGGGTCTTGCCATGTTACCATTTACTGTGGAATTGGTGGCCCTTCGTAGAGCTGTTTCCTTCCAGGAATTTGGACAAGTGTGTTTTGGATATGTAGGTTCAGTGATACTATTCTTCTTCAAGACTATATAGACCAGTGATTCTCAACCTGTGGGCCCCAGGTGTTTTGGTCTACAACTCCCAGAAATCCCAGTCAGTTTACATGCTGGGTGTTGAAGGCCAAAACACCTGGGGACCTATAGGTTGAGGAACACTGGTTTAGACCTTCAGCACTTAGTATATGTGGGAGCTGATCAGGGCCCATTTACCTCACCTAGCTAATGTGTTGCTACCTCACCTCTTTCCCATAACATTGGTACCGACTAGGACAGTGACACAGCCTCTCGGCACATTCTCTCTTCTCAGCAGGTTTACTCAATAGTGCTAGTAATGCTGTCATGAGCTTGAAACTGAACCATCTTTGGACTCTAATCACCTGGATGTCTCTTGTGTTTTATCTCACAAATTGTAATAGTATTTAATACTGACAAAGCTCATGAAATAGTCAGTTCATTAGTGACACTATGATGAAAACCTACTTTAAACCAGGCCCTGATCCTACTGCCATTACAATAGCCCATAGTTTGGTGTAGAAAGGATGAATTCTAATGCTCTTCCTTCAGGGAAATCTCTTCTCAACATAAGCACGCAAGAGAAAGAGGGGATGGAGAAACAGCCAAAGCTTATTACTTATTATTGCCACATAAAATCACTGTTTCCCCTTTCTACTTCTGTTTTGGAGAAGCAATAACTGTGTCAGATCTGTGCCAGTGTGTATTCTGTCTTTGACAAGAATCTTTTAAGAAAGAGTTGGACCTTCCCTAAAGCACAGACTATTCATTCCAGTTGTTCTGGGACTATTGCAGAGGCTAGTGTTTCATCCTGTGAAAATAATAACTGATGCTTAAAAAAAGCAGGCAGCTTTCCAATCCATTCTTCTTTGAGTTTTCTATATTTCTCCAGATTTTCTAAAACTCCTGCATGAACAGCTAAGGCATGCCTATATATTTTCCGGACATTATCAGGACCTCTGGTGAAAAGGATGCCTGGCTGAAGTGAATAATGTTGTCAGCTACTTCCAGTATCACCAAGTTGCTCACTGATAGATGGTTCACTTCAGCTGCACCGTGAGGTATATGCTGGGATAGTGTTAGTTAACTGAAACCATTTTATTCCAGCAAGATAGCAATGAGAGAAAATACTTGTTATTTTCCAAAGGAATAATTAGAGATTCCAGACACTAGTTGTTGGAATTTAAGACAAATTTGAAGACTCATCTTCAAGAGGCAGGTAATAAATTCATTGTTATTATTATTATAGTCAGACAGTCTGGCAAGTCCTCTTCTTTTAAGCATCAGAAGCTTTTGGTAAAATGCAGAAATGATGAAGTAGCCATCCTACATACACTCACAGTCACTCAAGCTGCATACAAAAATATAGTGTACTTAACTTGGTTAGATTTTGCCTTTTCTCTTTTAATATGGAAGGAAAGGAGATGAGGCCTTTTAAGAGATTTCATGTGCGCAGATGGAATGCATTCACAGAAAATGGCTGTAATCTTCTCATGGTTCAAACCTACAGACTGTGATTCAATTAGGGCCACTGTGTGGGGTGGGTTGTCTGAACGATGGGAAGCAGTTCACACAGCGTGCACCCCAGCAGCAGCAATGGCCTGATCAAATCACATTTGGATCTTTGGGATACATTCTCTGGTATTTGCTGTTCAAGTTAATTCCATGCTTAATAAATAGATAGATAAAAGGAAACCTCGATTGTGTCTCTGTTGAACAACTGAAGAAAGTAAGGTTGTTTAAACAAGCTCAGCATTTGTCTGTATCAGATATTGTGGCAGTGCAACCCACTGTCAGTATAATGATCTCAAAATAAACTAAACTATTGGAAATATCTGAGAAATGCTAATGAGTAGTTAGATTTTTTTTAAATGGGAGAGAAAGTAAGGGTAGGGTGGATACCACATACTATACTGGAATAAATACACTCAGGATGAAAAAACAATATTATCAGCCTACATTCTGCCTGCAGACTTTCTGGAAATACTTAAACTTGGCTTCTATCCTGGTCTTTCTTTCTTTTGGGGGGGGGGGGAATATTATTATTCCCAACTCTCCAAGTGACACAGATCAGCCAGGATGGCCATGCTTCACTCTCTGTGTTCTCCTTTTTTTCACTGGTTGTGAAAGTGTTTCCCTTTCCCTCTCTCAGCCAGTGCATTGCTTGTTTTTCCTATTGTGGCCATGTGGCCATCAGTCGTTGCAAACTGCCTGCCTCCTACTCTTCAAGCCATGTCTCCATATGGTCCTGAGGTTGGAAAGAAGAGAGAACAAGGAGGATGGCCACGATGGCAGATGCTGAGGCAGCTCTAACATTCATTTATGGCACTGCTGTTGCTTCTGTTTCCCAGACCTTTAAAAA